GATCCGGGACGCAGGAAGCCGGGAACGAGGCCGACTGGAGCGGGCGGGAGCTGCGTGCGCACTTTTGAGACGCTCCCTCGGGTGGAACCCGGGCTCGGCGCGGCTCCGCGGGCGGGCGGGGGGCGGGGCGCGCGCCGGGGAAGGCCGGCACTTTGGCGACGCTCCCTAGGCCGAGGCCCGGGCGGCCGGCGCGGGCCGCCACTGGGCGCCGGCGGGTGGGGGGCGCGCGCGACGGCGGGCGGGGGCAGGGGCGGGCCGCGCGGCGGCGAGAAAAGCGCCGGCCCGGGGGCCCGAAGCCGGGCCGCCTGGGTGAGCGTGCCGAGGCGGCTGCGGCGCAGGCTTCCAGGTGGGTGCGGGTCCCCGGGCGGAGCTGGAGCCCCCGGCCCCGTGCCGGCCGCCCCATCCAGCGGGCGGGCGGCGCTGGGCGCAGGGGCGGGGCCGGGGCCCCTCAACTTTTCCTGGACCCGGGGCGTCGGCAGCCGCCGCCGGACGCCCGGGGCTCGGCCGGAGTGGGGAGCCCGGAGCGAGAGGAGAGGGCTTCCCGGAGACAAAGGCTCGGGCCGGGGGCCCAGGGCGTGGGCCGGCGTCTCTGGGGTCTTTGTGCCGGCACGTGCATCTCGCGTTTGTGGGTCTTTGTGAGTTTGGGTCCGGGGACGTGAATCTGCCTGCGCCTTTCTGTGTCCGTGCCTTTGCGTGGTTGTTTCGCGCCTGTGTCCATGTATTGTGGGCCCGCGTTTGGTTTGGGTGTTGGTGGGTGCATCGTTGTGTCCGCGTACGTGGTGTGTGCCTGTCGACGTGTCTGGGTTGGGTGTCCGTGGAGTGTGTGCGCGCCGGGAGCCAGACGCCGCCCCGACTGCCCGCTCCCCTGCTGTCCCCAGGGCCCCCGACTTGGCTGCAAACTTTTCTCCCGGTTCCTGGGGCAACAGCCAGCCCCCGTCCTCCTCCCCGCTGCAGCCCTGGCAGGGGGCGCTGGCAGCCCTCCTCTCCCTCACCTCCTAGGGTCCTTAGGGCCGTGAGGGGACGGCATAGGATTGGGGTGGGGATCGGCCTCGTCTGGGGACCGTCCCGGGTCAGGGCTGGGCGGAGCGTGCCGGACACCCTAGCCGAACCGGCTACGGGGAGGGAGGGAGACGTCCGGTCCTGGGCTCCGCCGGGGGCTGGAGCGAGGAGAGGAGAGGACTGCCGGCGTTGCCTGCCCCGCGCTTCTCGGAGAGAGAGTGTGTGACCGAGAGAGACGTGTCTGCTAGGCGGAGAGGCCGGCCCCAGCCCCTGGCTCCGCTTTGAGATCTGCTCTCCGTTTGCCTCCCGCCTCCGGGGTGGGGGGACAAGCCATCTGATCCCGTAGGTGAGAGGGCGATAGCTTCTTGGGATCCGGGCCTGCCCGAGGTGCAGGCTCCAGGCCCCCGAGCTGGGCTTCGGGGAGTGGGAACTTTACACATACTGGTGTCGAATGGGACGGCCACTGGCCCACTGTACGGCACTGGACAAGTTGCGCGGCCTCTCTGAGTCGCAGTGCCCTGTTAGGGCTGGGGCTGAGAACTCCCTGGCGGCGCAGAGCCTGCGTTCGGGATAACCAGCGCAGCGGGAGCCGGCTGAGAGCAGGGCCCGCCCACACTTGGCCGGGCGAGGTGGTGACTCAGGAACTTCTCGGGTCCCTCCTCTCTTTGCTCTACCCTTCGGATAAGTCCAGACTTGCAGAGCCCAGGTCTGGCCCGAGAGGGAGGGCTCAGGTGGCGGGAGCCTGCTGAGTTTTTGATCCTGAGTCGAAAAGATAACCCTGACACCTTCCTCCCTACCCCCACCCCTCCCCAGTCCTTGAGAACTTTGTTGGATGCTGCAGACTTGAAGCAGGAGCACAAGCCACTCACTTGGGAAGGAGGCAACCGTGGGCACTTTCGTTCCCCTCTCTGGGCCTCAGTTTCCCTTCTGGAAAGGGAAGTGTCGACTGCCTCTCTCCTCCCTTCCTGTTCTGGCTGACTGCTGGAGATCCCAGAGCCTGGAAACACTGATGTTTATGTAACACCTCCCTCCATTCTGACCTGACTGATTCCCAGGCACTACTTTGCTCTTTTGAAGGAGGGGAAGGAAGGTGGCTGTGAAGGTAGGGAGGGACAAGTGAGGTGGGCCTGGAACCCCTGGAAGGGAAGGCTGAGGAAGCCAGGTGAATATACCTGGGAGCCAGGAAGTATCTCCCACAGAGGGAACAGCGCCTCACTGTGCCTTCTGATAACAGCACAGAGCCTTTGGGACTGTCGGGTGCAAGATCTTGGCGGGAGGGAGGGGGAAGTGGAATTCAGCCTGAGGCTAGAAAGGAAGGCAGGCCAAATATGAGGGCCTTGAATGCCAGGTCTAGGAGCTGGGGTTTGAACCTGTAGGCAGTGGAAAGCTGTTGGAGGTTTAAGCAAGCACGACAGGGTGAGATTGGTCATTCTAAGAAACCTAGGACTGGTGGTGGTGCTGGAGGCCAAGGGCTCCAGCCTCTTTGAGTGAAAAGACCTGGATTTTACTGCCACTCTGTTGCTTCCTAGCTCTGTGGCCTGGGGCAAGTAACTTGACCTCTCTGGTTCTTAGTCTCATCATCCTTCGAATGAGAATAGCAATTCCTGTCTCACTGATCTGCTGAGTGTTAAATAGGATAATGAATTACCTGTGCTAATAAAATGAGAAGAGGTTCGTGGTCTGCATGACGCTGTGCAGACAGCTGTGGGACTGCACTGACAATAGAAGGCGGAGACCATCTCCTGTGGTCCTGAGCCCGATTTCACCACCTGACAAAGCCCTAAGTCCCCTGCAAGCTTGAGCCAATTGTTATCCTCTCCAAGCAGAGGGAAGCTTTCTGTGCAGGACACTTCATTCATACGGTTTATCCCCCTTCATATCTCCCATGCAGGAGAAGAGCTGCACACGGTCAGATTCTGAGACGGCCACAGACTGCAAATTGTGTCGGGACATTGAGGGGGCAGCCCAGGGGCCACAGGAGCCCAGGGAGGGTGATCTTTTGCTGGATGAGGGGCAGGTTACACTGGGAAGGGCTCACAGAGGAGGTGGCTTTTTTTGTTTTCTAAGATTGGCACCTGGGCTAACAACTGTTGCCAATCTTTTTTTTTTTTTTCTGCTTTATCTCCCCAACCCCCCCCCCCCCCCGTACATAGTTGTATATCCTATTTGCAGGTCCTTCTAGTTGTGGGATGTGGAATGCCACCTCAGCGTGGCCTGACGAGCGGTGCCATGTCCGCGCCCAGGATCCAAACCCTGGGCCGACACAGTGGAGCAGCGAACTTAACCATTCGGCCTGGAGCTGGCCCCAAGGAGGTGGCTTTTGAATCAAATAAGTGAGGGTTTCCATGGTAGGCCGAGAAAAGAAGGGCATCTATTGTCACCTTCGTCAGAGGGAGCAGCCTGTGCAAAGGCTCTAGGAGCGAGGTGGGGCTCTCTGCTGGCACGCTGTCTTCCCGGGATGAGTTCAAACAGGGAGCAGTGGTGGGGTCTGTTGGAATTGCTCTCTGGTGCCCAGCCTGACTGGCAGTAGGAGGCAGGGGGTCAGGAATGAGGCTGTTGCAGGTGTCCAGGCCAGGAGGCCTCCTGAGCCAGCCCTGGGCGGGGTGAGGTGACTGCCTGGCTTGGGAGCAGTGGAGACAATGACTGACCCGCCTGGGGTAGCTGCTGATTCTGGTTCTGTCACAAGCAACACAACTACTTCCACCTGGCTCGGCCTCTGTGACCTTTCTGCTCCCCTTACTAATTCCCCAGGAGAGCCTGGGCAGCACTCATAGCCCGAGGGGGACTCTGGGGTGTGGGTGCACAGGAAGAGAATTCTAGGCCTCAGAGGATGCATTTTGGATTCTTGGTTTTTTTTAAGATTTTGTTTTTCCTTTTTCTCCCAAAGCCCCCGGGTACGTAGTTGTATATTCTTAGTTGTGGGTCCTTCTAGTTGTGGCATGTGGGACAGTGCCTCAGCATGGCCTGATGAGCGGTACCGTGTCCACGCCCAGGATTTGAACTGGCGAAACCCTGGGCCGCCAAAGCAGAGCGCATGAACTTAACCACTCAGCCACGGGGCCGGACCCGCATTTTGGATTCTTTATCCTCTGCCCCTGCCTTGCCTTTCTTGGCCCCTGAAATTAACCATTAGGGGGCAGGAGGCTGCATGCAGTGAGCACCAGTGTGTGCCAGGCCAGGCCGAGTCTCCACTTTACCTCGTGTCATCATCCCGGTGACGCGCTGGGAGCCGTGCTAGGATTCCCACCACACTACAGAGGCAGGCACTGTGGGGTTGGAGCCCGGTCTGCCTGGCTGCAAAGCCCACTTCCTCTGCCCCACGTTGCCTCCCTTGTGTCCAAACGTGCTGCCTCAGGCCAAAGGGAGCTGGAAAAGCTTCAGGAAGAAGACGCATTGGAAGGAGAAAATGGTATCTGGAGCCTTGCCCATTTCCCTGTGGATCATCCTCCTTGGATGAGGTTGCTGGGCCTCCAGGCCCACCTGCACCGGGGATGATGTCACAGAGGAGGCCAGGTACCAGGTGTCAGAATACCTAGATCCTGAGTCCAGCCCCTGTCCTCACTGGCTGTGTGACTCTGGACAGATCACTGAACCTCTCTGGGTCTCTATGCAACTGTAAAATAGATACGATGCCATCTGATCTGCTGATCTTATAGGGTGACCAGACAGATAATAGTTGAGGAGGCGCTGGAAAGGTTGAGAATGTCCTTGGTGAGGTGGAGGTATCCTAAATACCTAGTATGTCTTCATATAGTACCTTCTTTGTGCCAGGCCCAGTGCTCGGCTCCAAGGACATTAAAATGAATCGAGCCCCATCCCTGGCCACAGGAGGACAGACAGGTCAACGCAACTACAGTCGAGCACGGTCAGCTCCAGCTGTCATCCACACGTGCCCATTTGTAAGCTGAGGCACAGCGGTAGAAGGAGCACTGGATTTGGAGCTTGGACATCTGGGTTGGAGTCCTGGTTCCTCTACTGCCCAGCTGGTAATGTCAGTCTCCTTGTCTGCAGAGCAGGGACGGTAATCCCCACGGTCAAGGATGGCAGCGAGGTAGAAACAAGATGCTGGCGGAGACGTGGGGGGCGGGCTGACGGGTTTGTACAGAGTGCAGCATTAGCAGTGCTGTTGGGAGGGCCGGCCCTCAAGGCTCCGGGAGTTGGCCCTGAAATTCTTTCTGCCTTATGTTTCTGGAACTGACTCAGTGGTCGAGGGGCAGGACGTTAATGGCATTTCCACTTGGGGATTTCCTTGGCGTCAGCTAGAGGGAGCTGATGACGAAGGGGAGCAGGGTGGGGGGCAGCTCCAAATTGAGGCGTGGCCGATGGAGGAAAGGCCTGTCTCGGGTGGATGCCGGGGCCGAGGCTCAGCCCCCTGCCCACCTCGTCCTTGTGCCAGGGGCTCCCTCTCGGAGTTGTGATGAAGCGCGGGGAAGTTCTATGGGCCAGAGATGCTGTGGTGCAGCCCCAGGGGCAGGCAGCTGGGGCCAGGAGGGCTGGAGCTGGGACCCCTGACCCTAGAGAGGTCTCCTCAGACGAGCGGGGAGATTGGGGCCTTGCCAGCAACTCCTGCACAGTGACCGGAAAACCTTAGCACAAGCGGTCACAGGCCTGCCGGGTCCCTGGCACTGCATGGGGTACCTGGGTAGAGAGGAATGTAAAGAAGAACATGGTCATTGCCTTCAGGAAGCGTAATAAATCGTCACCATTGCTGTCTACCATGCACTGAGCACTTAACATGGCAGATCCTCAACTGAATGCCACACGTGCTGTCCCTTAATGCCTTCACCAACCCTGTGTTGTCATCCCTGCTCTGGACACTGAGACTTGACAAAGGAGAGATTGGCCCAAGCCCGGTAGGTACAGGGCTGGCTTCACACCGGGGCTGAGTCCAGCGGTTGGCTTACCTGCCGGGCTCTCCATTCGTCCAGCAGTATTTGCCGGGCCCGCAGGCCTGGCTGTTGCCCTGAGTTGGGGAGGGATGCGCAGGTGAAGAGGGCAGGGTCACCGCCCCTCGCCGAGTACACTTCAAGTCAGGAAATGGGCAGGTACATGAGGGCAGAGAATTGACTGCGTTGTTTGGAGGTGTGCCCGTGGTGAGATGTGAGAGGAGGCAGGGAGGGCGGCCCGGGAGCCCGAGGGCACAGATGGGCTTTGTTCTGCTGGCGGGACCAGGGCAGGCCGGGGGATGCAGGCAGTGTAGGCAGCAGTGTGTGGCATCGGGACCCAGGTCCCGGGTCCTGCTCTGCTGTTTCCTGGCCGTCACGGTCCCTCTCTGGGCCTCCGCCTCCTGTGGTCTCTGAGAGGCCGTCCAGCTCCCCAGCTCTGGAATTCCCTGAGTTGAGAGAAGCGTGAGCAGAGGCTGAGAGTCGTCCAGAGGCCGTCACCTTGGGTTCAGATCAAGATGGGGGCTCAGCCGGGGAAGGGAGGAAGATGGGGACAACCTGCAGATGCCTCTATGCCAGGGAGAACCCGATTTCTGTAGGTATAAGTAGAAGTCAAGGAGTTTTGTGGCCAAAGCTGTTTTAGGGGCTCTAGCAGGGTCTGGGGTGTCACAGTGGGGAGACCTGTAGGGCCACACCGTTTACCGACCTCACAGGCCATCAGCAAACTTTCCTGAGAGTCTCTGTGGGCCCAGCAATGAGTAACTCAAGGCCCCTGCCCGGAGGACCTTACACCCTGTCCCCCGCACCAGCGGCGGGTGCAGTTTCTGGGCCCTCAGCCTCCCTCTCGCCCTGGTGTTCTGCAACCTGGCCAAAAGTGTGTGTCTTATCTGCAGGTCAAGTTTGGAAAAGAAGGAATGTTATCTTGGGCCAAAGATCCCTTTTCTCCCTTGGCCTACCTTGGTGGCCACCTCTGTGCCTTTCCCTTTCTCCCGTGGGTGGAGCACAGGCCCCAGAGGGAGGCAGAGTTCATACCTTACACAGAGGAGCAAACCGCGGCTCAGAGAAGTCAAGAAAACTGCGAAGGGCACACAGATAGTGCCCTTCCAGATGGTACCCGCCAGACAGTGGCACACCTGGGGCTGGAGTCCTGGTCTCCTGGGTCTGAGGCAGGTGCTAGTGATCTTGAGCTGAGTTGGTGTCCTGGCCCACCCCCCTACCCCCCCAGCCCAATGCATACCTCACACGGCCTAGCACAGTGCCTTATACTTAGAAGAGATTCAGTAAATGCAGTTGTTTAATTCTGAGATGCTGGAGCTGGATTGTTTAGACTAAGCCCCTTATGAAGCAGGAGAAATGTTTAGAGAGGGGAGGGGACTTGTCTGAAGTTGTGAACAGGCCACGCAGAGCAGGGACTAAGACTGGGGCTCCTGACTGCCTGCCAGGACTGTCTTGTCACTATGCACGGTTGCCCTGTGGCCTCCCCTCCAGTCCCCCTTCTAGCCTGTGGCCTAGGAGAGACACGCCACCCGCTGACTGTGCCTCGGTGGGTGTCCTGGCGCTGTGACCGCTAGTCCTCGCAGCAGCCCCTTGAGGAAGGGATTGTTGTCTCCGATGTGGAAACGGGCTGAGAGAGAGGAAGTCGCTTCCCAGAGTCGCCCAGGTTAGCAGGTGACTTCTGTTCCCCGGGCTGTAGCTCCTTCAAATCAGAGAATTGATCCCAGAATGACAGTTTTCCTCTCTAGAGCCAACTCCGATCGGTGGGTAGAGGCAGTCTAGAGCACCACGTCCAGGAGAGTTCTGAGGTCCCCTGCAGATTGCCCAGGAAGCGGTGCTGCGATTAACTGTGTCTGCAGTGGATATGGGTGAGTTAGATGAAAAGGCACAGTTTTTCCATTCTGTGGCTTCCACTCCTTGGGGCTTCCTTTCTCTGTGGGAGCGTTCAGCTTCTCAGTCTAATCTTCACAGCTTCCTCTCTGAGGCCGATGGGACCTGCATTACCATCCCAGATTGACAGTTGAAGAAACTGATCCAGGGAGGTAAAGCAACTTGCCCGGTTCACACTGCAAGTTGGTGTGCAGGGCCTTCTGGCTCTCTGGGGGGGTCTTTCCTTTCCACAGAGCTGAGGCCGGTGGTTTTTGTCAAGAGGAACTCACATGACTCATCCCTCCCCAGATCCAGCAGCCCTGTTGAGAAACCGCATGGTGTGGCCTCCATGGAAAGAACTGCTCTCCGGGAGGTGCGGATAAGAGCCCTGACACATGTGGGACATGTCTGCTGAAGGAGGGAGGAGGAGAGAGCTCAGTAGGGGCAGGCCCACCTGCCCATCGCCACCTCGCCTCTCCCTCAGCTCCCAGGAAGCCAGGGCACCCACACTGCGCCTTTCCCGTGTCCCAGGAGCCCTGCTGGGTGCCTGACTTCCACCATTTTGTTTCATCTTCATGATAGTCCTGTGAGGTGGCCGTTACTATCTCCATTTCACAGATGAGGAGACTGAGGTTCAGAGATCGTGACCAGCCCAGACCAGAGAGAGCAGAGATGGCCATGCAGCCGTCCTACTAGGAGTCTTGGTTACTCAGAGTGTTTTTTATATATATATATATATATATATATATACACATACATGTTTTTTTATATATATGTACATATATATTTATTTATTTTGGAAAGGAAGATTGGCCCTGAGCTGTCATCCATTGCCAGTCTTCCTCTTTTTGCTTGAGGAAGATTGTCACTGAGCTCACATCTATGCCAGTCTTCTATTTTATGTGAGATGCCACCACAGCATGGCTTGACGAGCAGTGCTAGGTCTGTGCCTGGGATCTGAACCCACGAACCCTGGGCTGCCAAAGCAGAGTGCACAAACCTACCCACCATGCCTTCAGGCCAGCCCCTGTATATATTTTTACTATAAGAGAGGAAAGGAGATTGAGATGTTGACGTCACTCAAAGTCCTGCCATCTAAAGGAAAACCACTGTTGTCTTGATCTATTTTCTTCTCGGCTTTCCAAAGTTAGGATTTAGGTGGGGTTTTTTTAAAGCATAGTTATTATTTTCTTAGACATGCATTTTATCCTTATGATAGCTGGCATTGTGGTATCAACACCCTCCGTGAGGTTACAGACTCTTCTGAGCGTTACTTTTATGCACTCAGTAAGGTCCGTAGGAGACTTAAACAGCCGTCTTGACAGATGGGGAAGCCCTGGGCCTGGAGTCTGAGTATCAGCTGCCACCGCCTCACTGGGTATCCGCAGACCAGTCACTGCAGACTCCCTGGGCCACAGATTTGTTGCTAAAGCAAGAGATTGCACACCCTGCTCTGTGGCCCTCACAGCATCAAATGAGCAAAGGACTCTTGTAAACTGTAGAGGGCTGTGCCCCAGCAGGAGTTTCCTTATCTTCCCTCAGTCTCCTGGGAGAGTTCTGCCTTCCCCTTGGCTCCAGAACCTTTTTGCTAAGGGACTTGGAGTAGCAGTGCCAAACGTCAGCATCTCCCGTGACAACTTGACAAGAAGTGCCCCTCCTTATATTACCCCAATGGGGCCATTTCCTCTGAGCAGAGCAGGGCGCTGACTCAAGGACTGCCAGCCCACACCTCTGCTTTGCCCCTCTCTGGGTCCAAAGTTGGGAAGCCTCTAGGGATTCCTCCCTTCTCTTCTCCCAACAGCCTGGGACACCCCTGAGAGGCTCTGGGCTCTGCTGTGACCTCGGGAAAGCCCCAGAGCCGTTGGGTGTTAAAAAGCTTGGCACCCACGTCATCAGTCTTCATGGCAGCCGGAGCCTGGCCCTCGGGCTCTGGACGCTTAGCTCTTCTGTCCCCAGCAACACAGAGAAGGTTGTGCGCCCACTTGAACCCAACTGATTACAAGGTTACAAAGCCCCAAGATCAGTTCTCGCTGTGCCACCTTCCTTTTCTGAGCCTCAGTTCCCTCCACTATAAATGGGTCCTGGAGGACTGAGGGTTGAACGAGAGAACGAGGGTCCAGCTCTAGCAGGTAGTCAGGACTGGCTCTGACTGTCACCATCCACGCTTTCCACTGAATGTCCGGGTCTGGCACAGAGCAGGGGCCCGGGGGAGAGGCGTCCGCTGCGCAGGGCTGAGCAAGGACCCCATCCAGGGTGCCCTGGGAGCGTTCATAAGCGCAGGCATCCAGGTGGGTCTCAATCCACACTTCTGCTCCCCTTACCCAGTCAGGTCCTCGTCTGCAGCGGCCCCATGCTGACCCCTGCATGCGTGCACAACCCTTCGCAGTGGGCATTGCACTTCAGAGAGAGCTGGGTCAACTTCTGTGAGGGGGCAGGGCAGGATGACTGCCTCATGGTACAGGGGATAAGGCTGAGGCCTGGGGGGCGGCCAGAGGCCCTCTCTGGAAGGGCAGCATTTGGGCCGTGTTGGGGCTGCCAGTTACATAAGCGGGAGCTCAGGAGGGGTCATTTGGCATTTAATAGGCACATTGTATAATCTACCTTTGGGGACCAATGGGTAGTCTAGGGGCCTTTTGTGTGTGTGTGTGGTGTTTGTGTAAACCCCAGGAAGGACGGGTATGAGCAGATCAGCTTAGCGGGGGGGTGCAGCCGAGCGGTAATGAACCCCTGTGGTGAGGGTCCCCCCGCTCCCCAGGGACAAAGGTGCCTGAAGCAACTTAATATATTCCTTTTTGTTCCAGACATTGGAACACTCTGTCCTGCCTCATTTGGGACCAAGCCCAGGATGCACCTGGGCCGGGTTTAATCCTCAAATTGGACTCTACAAAAGAAAGGGGCGGGAGGGGAGGGGCCCCACTTCTCCCTGCCCCTGCACAGGGCTGAGTGCGGATCAAGTGGCTGCCCCTTTCAAGTGTTCATGGAGGACTAGTAAAGCTATCCTGCCGCTCCCTCGCCACTCACCCTCAGTCCAGAAGGCGAGCAGGTCCCTGGTCCGCCCCTCCCAGAAGGCCGGTGGGAGGGACAGGTCCGGGGAAGACTGCAGAGGTGCAGAGGGGGCCACCCCAGATGAAAAGGCCTGCTGGGGTGAGGCTCAGGGCTGCTGTCCCCCGGGATGAGTGGCCGCTGTGTGATGGGAGGGGTAACCACAAACTGCAGTTAGAAGCTCGCTGTGCTCGTCCCTCATCCTCCTGGGAGCACCACTGAGCACCACTGTCCCAAGAAACACAGTGGGCGTGAACTCGGGCCTTGGGTCAGACACGTGTGCATGAGTATGAGGACTGAAGGTGATGAGGTACATGTAGTGCCTGGCATCGGTGGCAGCTGCTGTTATAGTTGTACAGGGAGGGAAACTGAGGCCAGGGGAGGGAATGTGGCTTGTGTCATAGGATGTGTCAGCGGGGAAAACCCACTGGGGACCCTGTCTCTGCCGGCCACCCTGCCAGGCCTGCTGGAGGCAGCAGGTGAAAATGGAGGAATTGGAATTGAGCAGGCCTGGGTTCTGATCCTGCCTTGCTTTTTACTAGTTTGCAGTAAGACCTTTTTCTTCTCTGAGCCCCATTTCTTCATCTGTATATTGGGGAGACCAGCCCAGCTGCCTGCGTGGGTTAAAGGAAGGGCCCAAGAGAGGAAATGGCTGTATCAGCTGGGGGTGAGGCAGGGCAGGGGGAAAGGGGCTTGGGACGGGTGTCCCCAGAGCCCTTCTGGAGGTCTAGACGCTGGGTCCCCAATTGGAATGAAGGGGGTCCTGCCTCGAGGACAGGCCAGGTGAGGGGGCTTAGGACTGTGGGGATAGTCATTGCAGCCCCCCTTGCAGGGAGAGGCCTCGGTCTGGGAGGCTGGAGCGTGGGTCTCAGGCATGGCTCCTCCACCGCTGAACCACGATAGGGAGCCATGCTTCCTCTGTATGCCATGAGGTTCTGCTCCCACTATGTGTGGCCGTGCGTGACTCCTGAACCTCTCTAAGTCTCAGTTCCCTCTTCGAGAAGCAGTGACAGAAACTGCTGCCTTGCAGTTTTTGTGGTTGTGGGGGTTAAGCGAGACCGGGCTGTGAGGCAGCTGGCTCAGCACCCAGCACCTAGCACCTGTCAGCAGAGGTGAATGGAACCCCCTAACCCCAAGCCCTAGGCTATGAGCCTGTCCCCAGTAGGAGATGGGTCGAGACTAGCCCATGGACCTAGACAGTTGGAGCTGGAGCAACCAGCTGAAGACCTGTCTAGTCCAGTGGGTTTCCAACTGGGTTCTTTAACATCCTCCAGCAGGGATGGTGAGCGGCCATGGAAGGCTCCAGGCCCCCACCCTCGCTTCAGCCAGAACAGCCCCCTTTCATCTGCTAATCTTACTTAAGAAAGGGTTCTGCTGTTTCCAGTTTAAAATCGACCAATCTGGCCTAACCCTCTTTACCATACAGATGGGGAGACTGAGGCCACAGAGGAACGGGGACTAGAAATTATATGAGGAGGGGTATCCAGGGAAAGCATCCCAGGGGACTGAGGGGCTGGCGGCAACCTTCAGCTGTGTCTAGACACATCGGCTGGTGTCTTAGGGGGTGGGGTTCAAACCATGTGGTCTGGGGAGCCTGCTGCGGCCCCTCACCTATGGCTCTCTTTCTAGCCCCCACCATGCCGTGGCCCCTGCTGCTGCCCCCGCTGCTGTTGCTGGCCGCAAGCGGGGCCCAGACGACCCGGCCATGCTCCCCCGGGTGCCAGTGTGAGGTGGAGACCTTTGGCCTCTTCGACAGCTTCAGCCTGACGCGAGTGGACTGCAGTGGCCTGGGCCCCCACATCATGCCCGTGCCCATCCCTCTGGACACAACCCACCTGGACCTGTCCTCCAACCGGCTGGAGACGGTGAACGAGTCGGTGTTGGCAGGGCCAGGCTACACCACGCTGGCTGGCCTGGATCTCAGCCACAACCTCCTCACCAGCATCTTGCCCACTGCCTTCTCCCGCCTTCGCTACCTGGAGTCCCTCGACCTCAGCCACAATGGCCTGGCAGCCCTGCCGGCCGACAGCTTCACCAGCTCACCCCTGAGTGACGTGAACCTTAGCCACAACCGGCTCCAGGAGGTCTCAGTGTCCGCCTTCACCACCCACAGCCAGGGCAGGGTGCTGCACGTGGACCTCTCCCACAACCTCATCCACCGCCTCCTGCCCCACCCCGCAGGGGCCAGCCTGCCCACACCCACCATTCAGAGCCTGAACCTGGCGTGGAACCAGCTCCGCGCCGTGCCCGACCTCCACGACTTGCCCCTGCGCTACCTGAGCCTGGACGGGAACCCACTGGCTGCCATCGGCCCAGGTGCCTTCACGGGGCTGGTGGGCCTGACACACCTGTCGCTGGGCAGCCTGCAGGGTGTCCCCCAGCTGGCACCCTATGGCTTCCGTGAGCTGCAGGGCCTGCAGGTCCTGGACCTGTCGGGCAACCCCAAGCTCAAGTGGGCAGGAGCCGAGATGTTGTCTGGCCTGGACTCCCTGCAGGAGCTGGACCTGTCGGGCACCGCGCTGGTACCCCTTCCCGAGATGCTGCTGCTCCACCTCCCGGCGCTGCAGAGTGTCAGCGTGGGCCAGGGTGTGCGTTGCCGGCGCCTGGTGCGGGAGGGCGCCTACCCCCGGCAGCCTGGCTCCAGTCCCAAGGTGGCCCTGCACTGTGTAGAAGCCCAGGAATTGGCTGCCAGGGGCCCCGACACCTTGTGACAAATGGTGTGGCCTGGGGCCACACAACAGACTGCTGCCCTGGGCTCACTCAGGTCCCAGGTAATTCATATTTTAACGTGCCAATGCCAGTGGGGACTCTGCAGGCTTCTGTGGCAGCATCATTGAAAGAAAGGCTTTGGACCTGGACCAACACCCAGGAGCAAAGTCTTGCCCCTTTGTCTGTGTTGCCCCCCAAACCATTAGCAGAGGGTCTTCCATGCCAAACCACACAGCAGTCCCCTGCTGTCCTTCCCCACTTGTCCCCAAAGTGCCTTCCCTCAGGCCTGGGCCAACCTGACCCGTGACAGGAAAGGGTGGGAGGGAGATCCCACTGCGGGGCAGAGGTCAGGTCCACGGCTGAGCGCCCCTGGGCCCATGGTCTAGTCACTCAGGAGCATGGGTTTCTTTTATGACAAAGCCCCCTCTTTGCTCTGGGCACATGAGGCCCACTTCATCCTTTTCTTTTCCCCTAGAACCCTGGGTAGAACTTTAGTTGTAGAAAAGACTGGAGAAAAAATCAAGTCCACCTCCTCATGTGACAGATGGGGAAACTGAGGCCTAGAGAAGGAAAAATGCAGATCTGAGGTACCACATCAGCAGAGGCAGCACTAGACCCAGCGTCCTGCCTCCCAGCCGGGCCCCTCTGCGCTTTTCTGACTTCTCCAAATCATGCCCTCCCCTCCCCTTCCTGGGCTCCCGCTTGCTGCCAAGACCCACCTCCTGCTGTTTGTGACCTGTCCCTGTCCTCCTCAGGACAGGCAAGGGCCTTGGACTCTGGGCCCTGTGACCGGCTGTGTGGCACAAGCTAGGTCAGTTCACTTCTCAGGGTCTCTGGAAGCTTCAGGCATGCCAGGCTCAGCCCTGCCAGTTTCCCACTCTGGGGTGGGGTCCCCCAGCATCAAGACTGGAAATGTGCCCACTGACCCCTGAAGTGCATGCTCCCCAAGGAGTTGCTGCAGTCCTGGAGCCCCACCTGGCCCTGAGCTCCGGGGGGCCTCCTGGATTCAGCCCCCACTGGCCCTGAGCCCAACAGTCCCTGAGACCATCTCACCCTACTGAGGAGGCAGGGAGCCCCCACCTGTCTATGCGCCCTGCCCCAGGGTGGCATCTCAGCTTCCCAGCCCTGGGCTCTTTCCTTAGGGTTCCTTTTATAAAAGTTGTTGCCTTTTTAATGGACTGTCACTTTCAACCACGCCACCCCCCACCCCTGCTGGCAGGGGATGGAAACGTGTCATTTGTAAAAGAAGAAAAAGTTGCATTTGTTCACTTTTGTAATACTGTGTCCTGGGGATGTGCTGGGAAGAGGTGTTGGATGGAAGCCAGCCACCACTGGCCATGTGGGCATCAGGGGGCGGGGCCCACAGAGACGCCCACAGGACAATGAGGGCTCTGTCCTCCCCCACCAGCCCCACCCAGCACCTACTGGTCCTTGGTTTAATAAACACTATAAAGAGCCCCTCTTTCCATCGGTCGGCCAGTGTCCACTGACATTCCCTGGGCTGGGCCCTGAGGCCACAAGGATGAATCGGGACCAGCTCTGCCCTGGGCAGCTTGTTCTCCCTGAAAAGCCTGATGACCTCCCAGGATTTGGGGAGTGAGGTGACATGAGGGAGGGAGTTGCTCCAGGGTGGGTGGGACCTCTCGCAGCAGCTTGCGCCCTGTCCACCTTCTGGATCCCCCAACTCCATGAACTCGGCAGGCCCCTGCACACTTCTGCCTTTGCTCAGGCTGTGGCTCTGGCATCTTGCCCTTGCCCCCACCCCTGCTTCTAAACTCCCTCCCACCCTAACGGACCCAGTTCCTGCCTCCCCTCGGGAGCTTTCCCTGAGGTCCCTCTCCTCTGAGCTCCAACAGTGCTTTCTTCCCTCTTGGCATTTGGACCACTGTGGTACCCTAACTCCTGTTTGCACACTCCCAGTGACAGGGAGCTCATTTCCAGCTCACCCCACTGGCTCTGCTGTCAGCAAGTTCTTCCTTCTAATTGGCCGATTTCTGCAGGAATACCCATCACCATCTTCACCAACAATGACAAGTTTTCCTGATATCTCCTCTGCCCTGAGGGGACTCACATTCCTGGGGCGGGGGGGGGGGGGGGGGGGGGGGGGGGGGGGGAAGGGGGAGGAAGGACACAGGACAGCTGACTAAGAGCAGCACAGGTGGCTGTGAGTGCCCTATAGTGGGGTTAGGAAGGCTTCCTGGAGGAGGCTCATCCACACAGCCAAGGACAGCGGGGGCTCACACTTGGGAGGGATCATAGGTAAGCAATAGTACAGAATGCAGAACATTCAGGCCACAGGTATGGGTGGGGAGCTTGCCCATCTTGTTACTCAGGCTCCCCCGCAGGACCTGGGCCCCCTGAGCCTGAGGCTGCCCACCACAGTCAACACGGGAAGGGGCTGAGGCCTGGTAGGGGCCTGTCAGGGTGAGACCCCAGCCCCCACAGTCCTGGGATTAGTTCCTCACCCCTCCTCCATTCCCTGCAACGAGAGATGCTTCAAATGTTGGGTTAGGAGAGGGATCTCGGGGTCTTTCACCCAGTGGGGCTAGGCCCTCCCAAAGCCCCCTTGAAGGAGTCCTCCTTGGGGGTGGGCCATGGGACATGCGGGTCTTAAAGTCAGGGAGAAAGCGAGGCTGAAGGTAGGGGAGGGCAGGCCGGGCGCTCACAGTGAGCTCGGGGCAGGTCGCCTCCGCCCTGAGCAGCAGCTGCACGTCCGCAAAACGGAGCTGGGGGTGAAGCTCCAGTGGGAGGATGGGCCGACGCTGTCACCCCCGCGGGGTCCTTCTTCCTGGTGGGGGCATGACCCCGCACACCCCGCAGCCCTGGCTCCCCACATGCCTTAGGGATAGCAGGAGCCCCGCGGGGCAGCGCCCGACCGGGTGTCCACGCGGCCCCTCCAGAGGCTCCCGGCCCGCAGCGCCACCTCGTGGTCGCGCATGGCCAGACACGCCAGGTCGGAGGGGTCAGCGAGCAAGGCCCAGAGCGGCGGGAGGCGCAAGCGCACCTGCGCGGTTTGCACGGCCCGACTGTCTTTCCCTATCCGGACCGCCTTCATTCTGCCGCGCTCCACCCTCCCGAAACCCTGGAGCCAAGAGTGAGGCATTAAAACCTTACAGAATTATAGAGATTTCGTTTTGGTGTTCACAGAAGAGAGTTAAAATCCTGGGTCCATCACAAACTAGCTGTGTGACTTTGGCCAAGTCACTTTACCTCTCTGAGGCTGGAAAATGGGGATGAAAATATCTCCCCCCATGGGATTATAGGAAGAATAATGGAAGTAACATTTGTCAAGAATGAAGTACAGTACCGGGCACAAAATACTCCCTCCACAAATGCTTGTTGCCTCCCTCTCGCCACCATAGAATAATGAAACACAGAACCACGTAGTCTTAGACTCCTATTTTGATAACTGACTCAGAACTGAAGAATTTCCTAAAGGTTGAGGATTGTAGAATTGCGAATGCTGCAAGCAGAGGGTCTTCGCTCTGCGTGCCCGCCGTGGAATAGGCCTTGCCCTCGCCCTTCAGCTGAGTTTCAGAGACGGGAAACAGCTGAGGCAGTTTGCCCTCATGGCCAGGCTGGGTCACAAACATTTCCTTGCATTTCATTAATACAGTTGCCATTTACAGGGCACGTGTTCTTGGACTTGGTGTGTGTGCTGTCATTTCCTCAGGGATAGTTGTCACCGTCCAGATGAGGGGGACCAGCCTGGGCCTGGCTTCATCTGGGATTCCATTTATTTTTCTGTTGAAAATAAATTGGGGAAGTTACGCAGCTCTAAATACCTGCAATCAGACCATTGATTCTAAATCCTACAACATGAAAAGCCAAAGATCCAAGTCCCTCCCCTCCTGGCCCCGTTTCACAGATGGGGAGACTGAGGCCCAGAGAGGAGCAGCCCAAAGTCACATGGCAGGTGGCCGAGTCTGTGCTTCAGAACTGGCTACAGAATTTGTGGGACCCAGAGTCAAATGAAAATGTGGGGCCTCTTGTTCAGAAGTGTTAAGAATTTCAAGATGGTGAGAGCAGAGCGTTAAACCAAGCACAAGGCACTTCTAAGGTCCGGCTGCCCATGAGGCCAGCCTGCCGCGCTTTGATCATATCATCTACAGAGAAGCAAGGGACACACGCCCGGTGGTGGTCAGGACGGCAGAGCAGAGTCTGCGTGGATGTATGTGTAACCCAATCTGTCTGTAACTCAGAGCTAATTAAACTCTTTCTAAACCCAGGAATTTCCCTCCATAGCTGTTGTGACACCACTCAAATTGTCACAGCCAAAGCGGTTTCAGAGAGAGAGGACAGACAGAGATGTATATACTAGCACCCACCAACTGCCTCCAAACCAGCTCAGAGGATGTTTCCCTGGACAAGACTGCCAGGCATGGGGCAGGTGGGGCAGAGGCCGACTCTGTGCTCAGACTTCATGTCCACCAAGACAGGAGAGGTCATCAGAGGCTAGTAGAGCCTTGCCCATCAATGTTCAATGTTCCCTGTTGGCTGATGTTCACCAGGGATCAAATGTCCATTAATACCTAATATTTACCGATACCTAATATCCATCCTGACGGCCCTCACCAGTGGCTGATGTCCACAAAGGGAAGATGTCCAGTGGTGGCAATGTCCACTACTGCTGAACACACACCAATGCCCAGTGTCCGCAGGTAGCTAATTGCAATCATAATTGCCCTGCGCATCGACCCCTAATGTCAGTCTGCATCTCAACATCTGGCAACAGCAAACAGCCATCCAGTTAAGTCACATGCCCTGTGTTTATTCTTCCCTTGTATTTATTTAAGTACCAGTGGTTGTGTTTATGGGGATTATTGTGTTTGTTGAGCTAGGCGGGAAATTCTTCCTGTGTTTACTGTTTAATTCCAAAAGCTATTTATTATTTTGTTTTGCATACCTGTTAGTCAAAATATTCTGAATTAGGAGCACAAACACATATTTATGTTTCTTGAAATATACGCATATGTCTGGGTACCATGTATATATAATGATTACACACATGACACAGCAAGACAGAGAAAAAGAGAAACTGGTTTGAGGACAGAAGTGTCAAGCTAGGAAAAATTTTCTAATTGGTTGATTCTTAGAAGTAGCAACTTTTCCAAATCTGAGTGATGGTTCAAGGCATCAGCCCCCCTGCTCAGGCAAAGAGGGACAAAGAGCCCTACTGTGGGCTGCAAAAAGCCAGGTTCCTTAATAAGGTGGAGGCACTGACATGAGCGCTTCCTTACAGCAACATAACCAGAGGTTCAGGCACAGGCTCAGAGGGAGAGCGCCTGGGCTCGGAGCCCGGCTCTGCTGCCGAGTGGCCTGGGCTAAGCCACTCCACCTCTCTGTGCCTCAGTTTCCACATCCATAAAAGGGAGATAGTAGCTACCTCATGGGGTTGCCGTGGGGAATGAGTAAGTCAATGTACATAAAATACTTAGAATAGTTCATAGCACATAATAAGTGCCATTTAATAAATAATATGAAATACGGTGACCCTCCACATCCATGGGTTCCACACCTGCAGATTCAATCAGCCACAGATGGAAAGGCCTGCAATGGTTGCATCTGTACTGAACACGTGCAGACTTTTTCTTCTTGTCATTATTCCCTGAACAATACAGTATAATAACTCTTTACATAGCATTTACATTGTATTAGGTATTATAAGTAATCTAGAGATGACAAAGTATACGGGAGGATGTGTGTAGGTCATATGCAAATACTCCACCGTTTTATACAAGGGAGTTGAGCATCTGTGGTTTTGCTATCTGTCGCGGGGAGGGGGGTGGTCCTGGAACAAATCCCCCACAGACACCGTGGGACAACTGTACTATGTTTTTGGAAAATTCTTTATTTTGTCAAACTTAGAAGCATGCTATGACTCAAAATATTCTCCGGCAGGGTTCTTCCGTGGCCATTGGCTCTCAGCAGGTGCCCTCATAGAAGCTGTTATGTTTAGGAATTTGAGAAGAGGCTCTACCCGCCGCACCAGTACATCAAGACCGCCTCACCACGAGCTTCCTTCTGACCCAGCACTCGTACGGACACAGGGCTGAGGAGACATCGCCATGACCCTCCTCCCCAGGCCCGGAAGTCACGGAGGGAATGGCCCACCTGCTGTGATTTGAGAGCAGGGAGAATCTTCCACTCTCCTCGCTCTCCTGACAGCCTCACTGTCTGAGATTCCACCATTGCTCGCTGGCTTAAGCCATGATTGTTGTCTGGTGTCCTTGCTAGATAGGCAGGGGCCCAGGACAGCAAGAGTGCGATTGGGGGACGGAGGCCAGGGCATTCACTAAGTAATGAGGAGTGAGGGGTACCCGACCACTTCCCAAATGCGATCCACCCTAAGCATGATTTCAAGGCGGCACATGGCAGTTGCTAGGGCTGTGACGCTAGAGGCAGGACGGGAGACTGACAGAGAAGGTGGCTCACAGATGAGGTCTTTACACGTGCTGCCATCTCTAC